CTGTCGTCAACACATGATGAATGGACTCCAATCATCACTGCAAACACAATGTAACTTTAAATTCACATTTGTATCACTTTTCACTGAAGTTTATGTGGAGTCGTCTTTATTCACAATCCTCGTTATTTGGGATCCTTTCACATTTGGTTGTTGTGGGTGATCTCGGCCTTTTGGCTAAGATGAAGTGTAGTATCTGTTCTTATCAGTTTTCGGTGGGGAAAAGAACCGTCCTTGCGGGGGATGGTTACTTAGTACTCGCTGGAGTGAAAGAGCGTGTGGGGCGGCTTCCTGGGGAAGTACATGGCTTTCTGACTGAACGGATGCAAAGCTTGGTCTGGCTAGAGGGTTCGGGGGCGGCAGAAGCCCGTGGTGTTGTGCCCCCTGGGGGTGGCGTCCCAGGGGTGCATCAGAAAATCACTTAGGGTGTGGGACCCCACAAAGTGATTCACTGTGCACTAGGTCACGGCACCATCTTGCATTTTCTGCACTACGCCTCTTGGACAGGCCTTATGGCTAGTCTGGGGCAATTTTTTATGCACACGACCCCTAAGGCCTGTCAGAGTGGTGCACTGACACTTTAGATTTATTTAAGCACCCTATCCACGTTTGGCACTTTTTTATTTTAAATTTTGACCCACAGATGCGAAAGGTGCAGGTTTCTTCGGGGCCTAATCCTGACGCTGGGAGGAGATTCTGTGCCTCCTATGGGGTTCTCGGTCTCCTCCCACCCAGGAGGAGGGTTTCTCTTCGGGAGAGCCCACTTGCCTAGTACTGTGAGGGACCTGTTCCGGCAGGTCCCCGAAGGAAATGGGTCCACCGGCCTTCGGGTTGGTGGGCCAACAGTCTCAACCCCTGTCAGGAGCCTTGCGCCCCGGGGGGTCGGGAAAGTAGGTCCCTTCTTTGGAAGGACCTTGCACCCTTGTGCACGTTTTTGTGTGCTGTGTTTTCACGGTTCACTTTTTTTCGTTCACAGGGGGAAGTTTGTTTAGACGCACGTTCCACGGGCTAAAAAAAAAATTAGGATCTAAGACGACAATATAGCTCTACAGGTTATAAGGCAATCGAAAAGACCTCCAATCAGTGTGTAGCATTGTAAATCCTCAGGATAGAAGGTATCTGCGTGTCTCATTCCATCATATAGTCCAGTAATAAGAGAACAACTGTGAATTATGGTGGAGAACACTCACCACTGAAGCCTGAGACATATACAAAGACAGTGTGGTGTCCATCCTGCTGGCCAGTAAGATAAAATAACAGATTTGTGAAGTAACATGTTCTTATGCACACTGTAAGTATTAAAGCCCCATGTTGTTGTGTCTTGCAGAGGCTCCGCAGAAGGCAGAGGAAGGGGTGGCAGAACCATTCACGGACTCTTCCCTCTTCTCCCACTGGGGTCAGGATCTCAGCCCCGAGAACAGAAGGATCGCCCTGAAGCAGTTTCAGTACTACGGATACAACGCTTATCTGAGTGACCGCCTGCCTCTGGACCGACCCCTTCCTGACCTGCGACCGGCGGGGTGAGAGATACAATTCATGTCCAATTACAATATATAGTGTGCGGATTGTGAAATGTGAATGCTGCGAATATTGTACCAACGTCCCAACAATATACAAAATACACATATGAGAAGCAAACTGAACTGAAAGGAGAACTATGAGGCGAGTGATTTTAACTCAGCCTCATAATCTGAGCCGACCTGTGACAGTGAGACTGTCACATGTCGGCTCAGTGGATCGGGAAGTGAGAGAACACATACCGGCACTCGCTCACTTCTCAATCTATCCGTGCAGAGAGCGGTGACTGTCACTCACGGCACCCTGCAGGGATTCCCCTACCCCCCCTCCCCTGTCCGATCCTCCAGCGCTGACTGGCGGAACGGACGGGGGAGGGGGCGGGTACAGCTGGCTCTGCCTCTAGATAGGCAGAGCCAGCTGTCACTCACGCAGCTGGGTGGATCCAGACAGAATTGTCGGGATCCGTTCCGGCGGCGGCGTCTCAGTTTACCGCCAGCTGTAGTTCGCGGTATACTGAGCTCTGGGTGACGGGAGGATGCTAGTTTGTGTCCTCCTGTTACCCTTAGGAGAACTATGGGGAAAAGCACTGACCAAATAGTTCTCCTAAAAAGGTAGCAAAGACAATCTGATACAAATGTTACTGGTAATAATGTCTTGTGTTGTCTGGTGGGGGAGGTTGATCTGTGGGGGCTTCCAAATTTCATATGTATTGCAGATACCATGACTGAGGGTGGATGTCCAGTTGGAACCTATCTGAATATGTTATAAGAAGGGTGAATGCTGTTTTACTCATTATTCTGGGATTTGCTGTAAAGACATAAGAATGGGCCTGACATATTTTCGTTGGAGACCTTTTTCATGTGGATATCTTCCCCTCAGAACTTCCTCATCCCCTTCCAAGCATGTGGGATGTTCAAAGCTAAAGGGTGAGAAGGATCTTCTAGTATTTGTATTGACAATGACATCTGATATACATAAGACCGACTCCCACTGACTCCTGACGAAGTGGAACGTCAGCCTAAGAAACGCGTAGAGTAATCCGTCTTCCCATTACATATTCCTCTTCAATAGGATCCAGATCATACAATGTGTTGACCTTTGTGGATATAACTTGACACGGACAGGAGGAGCTGAGTAGATGAGGAAATGTGTTTATACTGAATATTATAAATATCCCATCATTTACAATATGTCTGATACATACAAGTCTACGTCCAATAACACAGAAGCATTTTTCACAATGACACTTTGTATCAGTTTGGTACCTTAAAAGATACAATTCATGCCGATTGATGCGCAATCACTTTGCTGGCATTGCCGAGAAGAGCATGCGTATTGAATGAGCAGATATGGCTGTCCCCATGCACAAACTATACATAGACGATTTGTTTACAAAAACATTAACACCCAGTAATTGGATTATTTACTTAAAGGGTCACTCTGCCCAAAACTGATACTCGGTGTCTGGTAGATAATAGGAGCATTAAACCCTCTGACAGTCTCTTCTATCTCTAGAGGAATCTATTGGTGAGATCTCTGTGATAAATACCTAGTTCTGATCATCTTCTGTGCCCATTATGAGGGGCTCCCACCATCCCTGTGCTGAGTTCCCGGGTCTATACACCTACTGTGCTCATTATGAGGGGCTTCCACCATCCCTGTGCTGGGTTCCCGGGTCTGTACATCTGCTGTGCCCATTATGAGGGGCCCCCACCATTCCTGTGCTGAGTTCCCGGGTCTGTACATCTGCTGTGCTCATTATGAGGGGCCCCCCACCATCCCTGCGCTGAGTTCCCGGGTCTGTACACCTGCTGTGCTCATTATGAGGGGCTTCCACCATCCCTGTGCTGAGTTCCCGGGCCTGTACACCTGCTGTGCTCATTATGAGGGGCTTCCACCATCCCTGTGCTGAGTTCCCGGGCCTGTACACCTGCTGTGCTCATTATGAGGGGCTTCCACCATCCCTGTGCTGAGTTCCCGGGTCTGTACACCTGCTGTGCTCATTATGATGGGCTCCCACCATCCCTGCGCTAAGTTCCAAGGTCTGTACACCTGTATCCAATATGAGCGGTCCCACCATCCCTGCTGAATATTTTATATTATGGAGAATGGAACCGATGGAACCGGAGGAGATGGAACACAAAAGGTGGATGGTGACACCTAAACCTGCTAGGTCCACTGGAACAGACCCTGGTGCGACCAAGTCATATAAGACATCAAGGGTTGACTCAGCCCATGAAGCAGGCCCAGCGCTACCGCAAGGCAAGTCAGGCGGCCTCCTGAGGGCGCTGCAGGGTGAGGGCGGAAAAAACAGGGCATTTTGACAAGTACTTGTATTTCTCAAAATGCCCCGATGTTTGCGCCTCCAGCGCTGGTCCAGTGGGAGGAGCTCCAGGTGGGGTCCTAATTTAGCTGGCCGGCGACTGCCAGAGGATCCTGACACGCGCGGCACCTCAGGCAGTCGCCGGCCAGCTAAATTAGGACCCCACCTGGAGCTCCTCCCACTGGACCAGCGCTGATTCGCTGCTGCTCTCCCACGCCGAAGGTAAGTGGAAAAAAAAGAAACATAGCGCAAACATCGGGGCATTTTGACAAGTACAAGCACTTGTCAAAATGCCCTGTTTTTACAGGGGGGAGGGGTCAGGGAGTGGAAGGGGTGCAAAAATGTACCTTGCCTGTGTAGGCAAGAATCCAGCACCGGCCCTGCCATGAAGCTCCACCTAGAACTAAAAATATCAGATCTGGAAGGTCCGGCCCTTTAAGGCTCTCTCTCTCTTTTACATGAATATCGAAAGAAAGATTTTAATTTTTTTTTAAAAAAGGCTGCAGTTCCCCTTTAAAATGTCCATCACTGTTTATGTCTCGTGATATCACCCAGAATGTGTATATTAGGGGTATAAGCACAAGCATGGTTGGGGACTCGCTTTCTGCGAACCATTCCTTACACAGAGAGACGGCTCTTCCCTAATTGCCCTTCGGATTGCTCGTCTCGAGTCAAACATCTGCAGCATTGGCAGATCTGTCTGTCAGCGAGCCGAGTCATTTTGTTTTATGACACAGAAATGCTTAGCCGTGACAAAAAAAGAGATTTAATGTTCGCTCCGGATCTCCATCCCCTATCGATCGTTCCAGGTCCCAGAGACACCGGGGGCCATTCTGGGTGGAGGAACAGGAACCGGTTACCTGAAAGCCAAAATGTTGCTTTAAAGGGCAAATCCCATTTGTTTTATAGATTTTCTTTATTCATTATAATCGGTGCTAAAATGTGAGAATACAAATATATATTGTATGTACATGTGTGTATACACTATATCTATATGAATATATGTTTCTGCTTTTACAACAAGCAGATGTGAAATGCAACATATAAATATTTCATATTTACTGATTGCAATCAGCAGGAGGTGACATTTCTGCAAGCTCTGTACTGAGGTGTCTTTCTTTCTTACAGCTGTTGTGCTATAAATAGGTTCCTGGTTCACTGGGAGGAAGGACACACCCCTTTCCCTCCCCTTTCCCTCTCCTAGAAGAGTGACACACCCCCTACATCTCTCCCAGCAAAGGGACACACCCGCTTCCTCTCTCCTATCAGAGGGCCACACTCCCTTCCTCTCCTAGAAGACCCCTTAGCTTTTACCTAGCAGAGGGACACACCCCATTCCTCTCTCCTTGCAGAGGGCCACACCACTACCTCTCTCCTAGCAGAGGGACACACCCCCTTCCTCTCTCCTAGCAGAGAGACACCCCCCTTCCTCTCACCTAGCAGAGGGACACATCCCTTCATCTCTCCTAGCAGGAGGACACACCCCTACCTCTCTCCTAGCAGGAGGACACACCCCTACCTCTCTCCTAGCAGAGGGACACATCCCCTTCCTCTCACCTAGCAGAGGGACACACCCCCTTCCTCTCACCTAGCAGAGGGACACCCCCCCTTCATCTCTCTTAGCAGGAGGACACACCCCTACCTCTCTCCTAGCAGGAGGACACACCCCTACCTCTCTCCTAGCAGAGGGACACATCCCCTTCATCTCTCCTAGCAGAGGGACACATCGCCTTCCTCTCACCTAGCATAGGGACACACCCCTTCCTCTCTCCTAGCAGGAGGACACACCCCTACCTCTCTCCTAGCAGAGGGACACATCCCCTTCCTATCACCTAGCAGAGGGACACATCCCCTTCCTCTCACCTAGCAGAGGGACACACCCCCTTCATCTCTCCTAGCAGAGGGACACACACCCTTCCTCTCACCTAGCAGATGGACACACCCCTTGCTCTCTCCTAGCAGCAGGACACACCCCCTTCCTCTCTCCTAGCAGAGGGACACCCCCCTTCCTCTCTCCTAGCAGAGGGACACACCCCCTTCCTCTCACCTAGCAGAGGGACACACCCCCTTCATCTCACCTAGCAGATGGACACACCCCTTCCTCTCTCCTAGCAGCAGGACACACCCCCTTCATCTCTCCTAGCAGAGGGACACCCCCCTTCCTCTCTCCTAGCAGATGGACACAACCCCCTCCTGTCACCTAGCAGAGGGACACACCCCTTCATCTCTCCTAGCAGGAGGACACACCTGTACCTCTCTCCTAGCAGCAGGACACACCCCCTTCATCTCTCCTAGCAGGAGGACACACCCCCTTCATCTCTCCTAGCAGAGGGACACACCCCTTCCTCTCTCCTAGCAGGAGGACACACCCCCTTCATCTCACCTAGCAGATGGACACACCCCTTCCTCTCTCCTAGCAGCAGGACACACCCCCTTCCTCTCTCCTAGCAGAGGGACACCCCCCTTCCTCTCTCCTAGCAGAGGGACACACCCCCTTCCTCTCACCTAGCAGAGGGACACACCCCCTTCATCTCACCTAGCAGATGGACACACCCCTTCCTCTCTCCTAGCAGCAGGACACACCCCCTTCATCTCTCCTAGCAGAGGGACACCCCCCTTCCTCTCTCCTAGCAGATGGACACAACCCCCTCCTGTCACCTAGCAGAGGGACACACCCCT